GCTACATAGTCCAGTGGGTGGACACTGCCTTGCTTGCATTGGTCTGGATGGGCTGGATGACAGGCACTCCAGATGGTCCCTTGAGTCCTGCCAGGTGTGACCCCTGACTGCAGAGCCAGAAGTAAAACCTGAACGTCCCTGGTATGGCCCAACTACCTCCCAAATCATTCCTAAATTTTATTTTAGGCACTTTAGTAAGATTTTGTGCATAAAACATTCCAGCACCCCACTGTCCACCAGCATAGCCACTTCCCTCCTCTATTTTTTTTAAGTCTGGTCATCATTATCTATATTGCAAACCATAGTGCCCAAAAGGAGAGAGAGAGAGAGAGAGAGAAAGAGAGAGAGAGAGACAGAGACAGAGAGACAGAGAGAGAGACAGAGAGACAGAGAGACAGAGACAGAGAGACAGAGACAGAGACAGAAGCAGACAGAGAGAAGCAGACAGAGGGAGAGACAGAGAGAGACAGGGAGAGAGAGGGAGAGAAGAAAAATGCTTAACATAGAGACAGGCTGGGGGTGGGGTGGAGGGAGGGAAACTGGGGCCATTGGTGGTGGGAAATGCACACTGATGGAGGGATGAGCGTTGGGACACCTATGATAGAAATCTGACCAAGCTTTGTAACTCGGTGTCTCGTGATGATTCAAAAAAAGAGAAAAAGAAAAAAAAGTCAGAAGCTTACAGAGGAGAGATGGGAGGATGGGCATGGAGAGACTATTTTCCCACATGTCATCTGATAAAGGGTTGATAGCCAAGATATATAAAGCACCAGTAAAACTTTACAAGAAAACAACTTGTACATTTTAAGCCACTGACTTGCTTGACCTTCTGCCCGGGACGATGGCTTCTAAGTTTCTACTCCAAGACCTAACTCCTCGGCGTCTTTGCAAAGTGCACATCTGGTCACTGGCGTGACGTCCCTCGGTGATGCCCTTTGCCTGTGTATTGGGACCACAGGGAATTCTCCCTTCCAGCCTCAGCACACAGTGGTTGCTGTGCGTATCACCAGCTGTGAACCGCTGCCCTCTGCCTGCAGACCCCTTCCTTGCCACAGTGCCTTCAACGCTGAGGCTGCTTCTCTGGAAGCTCTTTCCAACCTGGCCCACATGGAACCCGTCCACACAGCAGCTCACACGGCAGTTCCTGTCCGACTACCTTCCCTCCAGTGTGTTCCTCCAAGGTTTGCAGGCTCTTAAGCAGTTTGCACTTGCACTTGAACAGGTGGCTAGCCCAGGTCTGCCTCTCACTGTTCCGTCTTGGCAAGTTCTTACTCTTCAAGTGCCTCTGTTTTCTCATATGGAAAACTGGTTGCTCATTAACTGCCTTGGAAGCTTCCTGGGTGTAATTCGAAACAGCGCCCTCTACCAGCAGGGCAGGGCTAGACTGAAGAAAGAGGAGGCAGTTAGCAGGTCTCATTTGGCTTCGCTAGGTTTTGGAGCCGCACCCGTCTCTGTGCTCAGGATTGCTTCTAGCAGTTCTCCAGCTACCACGTGGTACAGGAGCAAAGCTTGTTTCCAGTCCCTTGACTTGTCTCTCAGGCCTAAGGGCACAGTTTTAGTCAGCAAGATAATTTACAGAGGAGGCAGCCAACAAAATAGATCTTTGCCCACATCCATCTAATTGTAAGCTTATATGGAAGCGTTATCTGGCTATAGTTGATATGTTTTGTTCCCATGGATTCAAAATCACATTCTGTCTCAAGGGTGGGTCTTCGGGAAGTGTCTAGCTTGGGGAAAGGTAAGTAAAACGCTTTATTCCAGGGAATGAGGAACCTCCAATGATGCAAGTTCTACTTCTAGCTCAACTAGTGGTCATATCCACTACTTCCAGAGGTCACTCTTCCCGGACTGGAATGATAGAAAATAGAATAGGGAGGTTGAGCTGATTTTGGATTTGAAAATTGCTCTCAAACCATGCCTCATTTGTAGAATGGATTTAACAGACTAATTATTATGCTGATCATGATATAAGATAATCAGTACTCAGAACAATATAAGAATCACTTTCTTTTGTTTCAGTAGTGTGGCTTGGGTTCATTGAAAAGTCAAATCCTACTGTACCATTATTTTTTGCTGAAGTTTTATTAAAGACTGTAATATAATTGGAACCTGATATTTCATTTTTTATTTTATTTTATCCTTTTTTATGTAGGAGTACTGCTATTTATGCAGCCACTGATTAGGCTGATTGAATTGGGCATGAACTCCACATTACTTTTCTTTTCCATTTTTATAATTTTATTTATTGAATCACCGTGAGAGCAGTTATAAAGCTTTCGGGTTTAAGTCTCCGTCATACAATGAAACACCCGCCCCTTCACCAGTCCCCATTGTCCACCCCCAACAACCCCAGCATACCCCCATCCCCACACCTTTCCCCTACCTGTGGGGCAGATGATTTCCACATTACTCTCTCTCTCTACTTTGATCACATTCAATATTTTGACACCAGACCCACCATTATTATTTGGGATTTTACCCCAACACTTAGATCTGCTGAAAAGGCAACAGTAGACAATTTGTTTTCTATTGCTGGTTATAAATAACATATGATGTCGCCAGCTGCTGTAGTGGCTGCATGATTTTGAAATCCTGAAATTTTAACAATTAACTCTGGAGGTATTTCTGCCAAAACCTGCTGAGTTCCGAGATTTGTTCCTGAGTCTCTGGGATCATGGCCGTTAATCAGGAGCCAGAAAGGCTGTTTGTGGGTGGCGACTCGGGGTCTTGTTGGGACAGGGAGGAAATGGCCGGCTCCACCCCCATCCTGTGAGGCCCGCGTGTCTTGTCACTGAGGGCCCAAACCTGACTGTCCAATGGCCTCTGGAGGATGGCAGCCACTTATTTGAGTCTCTGGGATCGTGGCCCTTAAGCAGCTTGATTAGGAGCCAGAGAAGCCATTTGTGGGCGATGACTTGGGGTTTCGTTGGGGTGGGGAGGACAGGACCGGCTCCACCCCCATCACTGCAGGCCCAAACCTGACTGTCCAGTGGCCTCTGGAGGATGGTGGCCACTGGGCCGCTAGTGGGAACAGGCAAAGGCACGAAACCTATTCTCACCTGGGTTGGTCCAGCACTGGTAACCTACTGCAGGGACCGGATGCATTTCTGCCAAAAGCCGCTGGATTTTGAAACTTGTTTCTGATTCTCTGGGATCATGGCCATTAAGCAGTTTGATCAGAAACCAGAGAGGCCATACCTCCAATTATACAGCTGAGCCGGAGGTGGTTTGTGGGTGTGTTTCCCACATACCTTACTTTTGGCCATTTACTTTCTTGGTAAACTTGACCCCAAGTTTTTGGGGTCTGGCCAAAGGAACAGCATCATTTTTGGGGTATCTGAAAGTCTGAAGGTGCCATCAGGCTGCTGATGCTCTCGCCTTACAGGTACAGATTGACCTGCTGGCAGCAACATACTCCCAGGACCTAACATTTTAATGTTCTTTTATCTCCATTAAGTTTGATGTAAGACATCGATTTTAACCGAAATAATTTCTGAGACAAAAAGAAATACCATTAGGCAAGAAAGATAGGAAAATTCCTGGGAGTTTATTTAAATTCCAAAATTTAATGCCCTACCTGTCATTGGTTGGTTGAAGGGAATTTATCAGTATTTATTCAGTTTCAGAAATTATATTGACTTCCTAGGTATTTTTTTTTTTCAGCTCTTTGGGCAAGCATGAGATCAGTGTGATTTAGCTGAGGATTTCTTTGGGAACACTAATCATTATGTGTGTTTGCAAGCCAAATCCACATAAAAGAGATGGTTTTGAGTATAGTTACTTTGGGGGGCATCAGCATTTTTTTGTATCCTAGAAATATTCCACTTGTGGAAAGGGGAAAGCTTTGAGTGACCTCTACATACATTGTGACATGGGTGTGCTCTTGTAACTTCCTATGTATTGTCCCTGGGGTTAACAGTTTCAGTCTTTTCTTTGGTTGTACCACCAGGTGGGGCACTGGCTCCTTTTAAGATGGAAGCTGCAGTCTTGCAGCTGATTTTCTTTCCTCCCAGAGAAGTTGTCTTATCTCACACCTGCCCAATCTTTTCAGAGACCCCAGGAGAAATTTTGACATGCAGACGAGAGAGAGAGAGAGAGAGAGAGAGAGAGAGAGAGAGAGAGAGAGAGAGAGAGAGAGAGAGAGAGACAGCAGAGGGTGGGAGAGGGTGGGGGAAGGGAGGTTGTTGACAAGGATGAGGCAGTTTTAGATCTCTGGAAGTCCACATTTCATGCAAGATTTTTTTTATCAGAAGTACTCGTAAAACTACACGACACCGTATGAATTAGGTTTTTCTTAGAATTTTTAGCCTGATCAGTGACATTCAATTTCATTTAAAAAGCATATGCATCTTTTTTTTTTTACCTTATGAAGAAGTGCAAATGGTCAAGTAAATTATGAGTGATTTTCAGACCTACAGATGCCAATTTAAAATCATTAGAAGTTCATTTAAATTCATTTAAATTTTACTAAGGTTTCTTGAGTAAAAACCGTGAACTTACTTATGTTCGCTTCGATGACTATTTTTAGGTTTGTTCAATGGTAATAAAAAAAAATCTGAAAGTAATGCTAGTATGCAACTCTGAATCTCCGAAACACCAGGTGCTTCTTAGGCAATGAGAAATCTCAGCGTCCTACGTGCACTGAGCCAACTCAGCAGGATAAAACTCATTTTATGGCCTCACTGGAGAGCAGACTGTATTCCCCTTGTTTAACATGAAGTTAAATTCAATGCTGTGTCTGTGGGGGGAGTTGATAGTGCTCTGTCTATTTGTGTGTGAACAGTTTTCTTGGGCAGCAAGAATGAAAACAAAGCTTGAAGCCTTAGCTCATGCTGCCTGTGGGTTTTCTTTCCCACTGTGCAGCCCAGTGTCTCTTTAACATATGGGGTGTGGTTTCAAGTTCATTACTGGAGCTTATAGGCTAAAGTTCTTTGTGGGCTTGGCTCCTCTGAAGTTGCATGTAGGGAGTCGGCCTAAACCCTTTTGGGAACAGACTGTTTTCCCTGTCGATGTGGATTCTCAGTGCAGTCAGTTTCCCCTCTGGCTGTCAGCTGCTTTGGAGATTAGCTTCATACTAAGGACTCTCTTGAAAGCACTATGAAGCGACTTTCACTGGGGCCTCAGGTTAGTAAATAAAGTATTAACTCTCAGGTTTTTGCTTACGTCAGATTTTTAATGTTCTGTCTGTGCAGGGCAAGGTATGATAGTCAGTGTCACATTTCCGTGGCTGTTATGTTCTTTCAGAGAATGCGAGTTTGTTGTTACTTCGGAGATTCAGGGGTTAGATTGTTCTTAAAATATAAGCTGAGGCATTTGGACAATACTAAATGCAAGTGAAAGACAAGAAGAAATGGCATGTGAGTGTTGGGTTTCTATCCTAGACATTTGTACTTGTTTCACAGTAAACATTTTCAGTTCCTTTTCCAGGATGATTTTCGTTGTCTCTCCCATTAAATTGAAATCTTGTAGGCACGTCTGTGATCTCACATGCAGTTGATTTTGTTTTATTTCTGAACATTAGGCAGCCAGTAGCGGCGGCTGTGTCCAACCCTGCCATGATACCCCCTCACACATTTGTATATTCTTTCCGGATGCAGCCTGTAGGCCTGTTCCTGATAGTTACACTGAACCACGATACCATTTTAATAACCTCTGGAAGATGGGTGCTTTTAAGAATCCCTTTTCTGCCTAGCCATCACTGTGGGCTGACAGGTGGATTAAATGGGACTGAACCCCTTCTTTAGTTGTCACTAAGTTTTCTTCTTAGGAATTAATTCCTCAGACTCCAGGCTGACCCAAGGTGGAAACATGACTGTGAAAATGGATTGTGCCTTGTGAAACATTAAGATACTGCTAGTAGCGATAAAATGAAATGAAGCCAATAAAATGAAATATCAAGACAGCATCTTCCTTAATTTCGTTAAAGGTCACAAGAGTAATCTTATTTTTGTGACGTTGTTACTGAAGCATTCTGGGCCCGAAATTGTTCTTTTGCGAGAGTAGTTGAATTTTGTGTGTTTGTATGCCGCAGTGCTTGTGAGATGTTTGTGCTTTTGTTATTTGAAGAACGGTAACAGTCAAGATAATGTACTGGTATTTTAAAATGGTGTATTCTTTCAGGGTCTCTATTTAAAAAAATTGAATTGAGGGAGAAGGGATAAAGAAGCAGGTACTTAAACTGAAATTATTGAAGAGACATACTAAACTTTTAAGTTCTCAGCTTTGCAGAGATGCAAGTTGTAAAGAAACAGATCTCTGTGGTTTCAGGAATATAAAGTTGACTGGACTTTATACTCCACGTCACATTTATAGATGCTACTCTGCTACCTCTGTCATTGTACTGTGTTCTTTTATGTTTATCAAAAAATGCAAAGGTTCCTCTGACTTGCTGTTAGGATGCTATTGTTATATTCTTTTAATTTAATATTTAAAGGAAAACTTTTGTGAACCTGATCATAGCTGCTTGATAATTTTAAAGAGAAATAAGAAGTGATTTACTCACTGACTGTTTAGTTACAGGTTACAGATAAAAGTCTTATAAAAACTCATGGATGACAGGTAAATCTCATATCTGTGTTCCCATATGCTTCACTACCCTTTCACCTAGTGATAATAGCAAAGCAAAATATTTCTGATTGAAACAGAAGTGGACATTGTGTCTGAGTATAGAATAACAGAGGAAACTCTCCGAATACAAGGTCTAGGGTTTTCCCAAAAAATATTCTGTAAAATAAATTTTCTCCAAATGTGGTGAGAAAGAAAAAGCTTTACAGGAGTGCGTTCAGAAATTTTGTAAAATCCATTCTTTAGATAGAAAGTATCTAAGTCAATCTCATTACCAATTCTAGGTTTAGAATATGTATTGCAACTTTATGTGTTTATCCTGTCACACTGGTTTACTTTAGATTTATTTCTTTTAGCTGAAAAGTATATTCATACCATCTCATAATTAATTAATTTTGCTACATTTTGGTCCACAGTCAAGCAGTGTTCAGGGGACCAGGTAGTGTCCGGGAACCAACTCTAGTTTCCTACTTAGAAAGCATGGGCGCTGGCCTTTGAACTATATCCCTAGCACTTATAACATATAATTCTATTTTATTTATTTGGGGGGCATTGTGATGCCCAGGAGTAATTCCTGACTCTTTGCATTAAGGTTTGTTCCCTGGGGTACTTGAGGGTTGAACTGGAGCCTGACTGTGTGAGAACAAAGGCTGGCGTAGAGACTAGGGTAGAAGACGGAATCTGGAATACTGGTGGATGGAAGTTGATACTGTGGCAGGATCAGTGTTTGGACAATGTATGTCAAAAACTCAACTATGAATAGCTTTGTAATTCACAGTGCTTCAACAGAATAAAGTTTTGGGAAAAGAAAAAGGAAAAAATTGCCTAAAGCCCTGTAATATCTTTCGGCTCCTATCTAATTTTAAGTTAAGCGTTGAGGTGATCCATTTGCGTTGAATATTCTTTTTATTTGACATTTAAAGTACTCTGGCCTGTTGAGAGTTCTGTCATGGCTACATGGCAACATCACAATAGCCCCTTTCTTGCCTTTGCTGACCCAGAAGGTTAAGGTCACATCTTTGACTCTTCTCAGTGAAGGTGCGGATGTGTAAGAGCCTTATGTTTATATATTGAAATGGGGACAAAAAGCTAGAGATGGTGATGCCATTCACCTCAGAAATTCTCAATTAGTGTAATGACAATAAATCCTAACTTCCCTAGGGGGTTGCAGTGACTGAGGACAGATTTTACTCTTAGAACTCATCTTGGGGCTGGAGCAATAGCCCAGCAGGTAGGGCATTTCCTGTGCACACAGCCGACCCGGGTTCGATTCTGCTGTCCCTTTTGGAGAGCCCAGCAAGCTACCGAGAGTATCCCTCCCGCATGGCAGAGCCTGGAAAGCTCCCTGTGGTGTATTCAGTATGCCAAAAACAGTAACAAGTCTCACAATAGAGACATTACTGGTGCCCGCTTGAGCAAATTGATGAACAACGGGAGGACAGTGCTACAGTGCTACAGAACTCATCTTATCACAGCCTACCCAGTCACCGTTGTCCCCATCATTCTGAAGAGCCCAGTTTAAGTTGGACCCTTCCTGCCTTTGGGGGTGACAGTTGTAGTGGTCATGGCTGCTACAGAAGTAATAGTGGTAGTAGTAGTAGTAAAGTAAAACAAAGTAAAGTCCCTCCCGTTGATCATCGATTTGCTTGAGCGGGCCCAGTAACGTCTCCATTGGAGACTTTGTTGTTACTGTGTCTGGCATATCGAATACATCACGGAGAGCTTGCCAGGCTCTGCTGTGGGCGAGATACTCTCGGTAGCTTGCTGGGCTCTCCGAGAGGGGTGGAGGAATTGAACTCGGGTCGGCCATGTTGGCTGCGTGCAAGGCAAACGCCCTACCGCTGTGCTATATTCAAGGGGCCAGAGCAATATTACATTGGGTAGGTCACTTGCCTTGCACAAGGCCGGGCCAGTTCTTTGCTCGCTCGCACCCTGTATAGTCTCCTGTGCCTTACCAGGAGTGATTCCTGAGAGCAGCAGGAATTTAGCCCCAGGCTGGGTGTGACTCAAAAACAAACAAACAAAAAGTTAGAAAAACATTTCCAGGCACAACCACTTGTCTGAATCTCCTCTTTAATCCTTATGAAAACCCTAGATCCCATGTCTTTATTATCCCTAACTTACAGTTGGAAAACCTCAGAGGAAGGTTGTGAATTCTGCTTAAGTCTTGGGCACTGCCAAGCAGCAGTAACATTATAGTGCCTTAGAGGGATACTTTATTGGGAAAAACTGATGCAAAGAAGTTGATATTATTGGACAATACAATTCTATGTTTATGAGGACTAGGAATGACCATGAAAATAATGGTATCTGTGCTGCTTTTCATATTCAAATGTGATGGAGGATCTACTGTTAGCTGGCAAGTCTTGCCCATTCTTTTTTCTCCTGGTTGGGGAGTGAGCCTGTGCTCTGCTTTCTGAACTGTTTTGCTGGTGGCCATGGCAGGATCTGGTGGTCAGTGGCAGGATGTAGTACTTGCCCTGGTTAGTAAACAAAACCAATGATGATCATTTCATATTCAAGCCAACAAAATTGAATATTGACTTCTGAATGCTTAAACTCATCTTGGAAATTTTGAAATTCTAAACAGCTAAAATAATAAAACGACTAAGGAGGAAACTTGGACTTTCTGATTATTTATCTTAAATTTTGCCTGGATCAGGGGTCTTCTCCATTCCTGCTCAGTGTGATTACTATTCATAGTCAAAACTCTGGTTAATTTGTCTGTCCTGAAGGATTTCTGAGGCTTAGTGGAAAGTCAAGAATGCAATAAAAGTATTATTTTTAAAAATGTGCATTTGAAAATTGTTGGACGATTAACTCAAACTAGCTTTGACCAGATCTTTTTCTTTTTTTTAATTAGTGAATCACCGTGAGGTACAGTTGCAGACTTACAGACATTTGTGCTTGCGTTTCAGTCATACAACGATTGAGTACCCATCCTTCTACCAGTGCCCATTCTCCGCCACCAATGATCCCACTATCCCTCCCACCACCCCAACCCTACCCCCCTCACCCTGCCTCTGTGGTGGGGCATTCCCTTTTGTTCTCTCTTTCCTTTTGGGTGTTGTAGTTTGCAACAGAGGCATTGAGTGGCCATTGTGTTTGATCTACAGTGTATATTCAGCATGCATCTCCCAACCCCAGCTGGTCCTCCAAACACCCTTTATGTGGTGTTCCCTTCTCTATCTGAGCTATCTTTTCCCCCAGCATGTGGGGCCAGCTTCCAAACCAGGGGAAAAACCTCCTGGTCCTTGTCTCTATTATTCTTGGGTATTTGACAAGAATTTAAACAGTAGAAATTAAGTTGTGAGTCTTTAACAATATATAAAAATATAGGCTAGAGACATTAAAACAGTTATGCTAAAAACTGATCTACAAACCAAGACACACGGCAGAGATATAGTTCAGCATCAGGGCATTTTCCTTACATGAGACTGAGAAGAAACCTGGTAGACCAGGGCAGTCAGATACCAAGGTGACGTTAAGGAATGATAGGGCCAAATATCCAAACCAGAATCTACCACACTGAATCAAGAGACCCAAATTTTAACGACCAA